GACTAAACAACAACAATGATGTTATATATAGAGGGACATGGTGGTGCTGCAGATTAAACTGCAGAAGCTTCTGTGCTGCAAAGTCAGAAGACCAGCAGTCGTAAGATCGAATCCACGTGACGGAGTGAGCTCCCATCACTTGTCCCAGCTCCTGCCAACCTAGCAGTTCGAAAGCATGAAGAAATGCAAGTAGATAAATAGGTACCACCTTGGTGGGAAGGTAACGGCGTTCCGTGTCTAGTCACACTGGTCATGTGACCACGGAAACTCTTCGGACAAATGCTGGCTCTATGGCTCGGAAACGGGAATGAGCACCGTGCCCTAGAGTCCGACATGACTGCACTAAATGTCAAGGGGAACCTTTACCTATGATGTTTTAGGTTAAGCACTGAGTTCACTGTAAGTAATTTCTGTTCTGGCAACCTAGCTTCCATTCTGGCAGTGGCAAGACAAGGTAGGGAGGCGATAGGTGATAGTAAGAAGGGGGCAAAGGGCATGCCGTGGAGGCAGAGAAAGCTGTTTGTTAGGCCCATATGCAGAAACAGCAAACTAGGCTGCTAGAGTGGCCATTCTGGTAGCCTAGACTGCTCTTTGGGCCCAAAAAAGGGACGAACAAAAAGAGTAAACATATGTCATTTATTATTCGTCGGGGGCCTCTGAAATTGACAAATATTAAGTGACAAATATTACATGAATCAACGATTTTTGATGAATATCACAATTTGTGTTCTTATTTGTTCCCATGTTTACTAAGTAACTATGGTACATGGACTATTCCACATTGCATATCCTTAAAAATGGCTAGTTCTCTAAAGTGTTGTTTATTTTTGCTATTGTATCAAATCTGCAGGAGAGATTATACAGTTTCAGTTCTCATGTTAAAACTTACGTATTTTTTGCTTGACCATCCTTGAAACACATTTGTCCTACTAAAGCAGCAGATTGGTCACCTAAACACTGGAAGAACAAATAATTCAGTAATGTTCAGTCGAAGAATACCTGCATATTTTTCAAGATGTGATATTTTGTGTATATAATGCTAAAATAATTAAGGAGACTGTAGAAAAATGCAATGCTGAAACATACATTCTGCTTTAAAAAATGAGGTTTGAATAGCAGTTTACTAAAGGTCACTGTGAAATAATTAGCCTATTCTCTAGGCAAGTCAGGAAGCAAGGTCAATGTACAACAACAGTGCTTGCAAAAGAATCTCTGTCATGGCTTATAGTTAAACATGTAAACAAATAAGCTGACTGAAAAATCTAAATAGAGGAAGGCAAAGAGACTTGTAAGAAGATGCCATACCACACACATTAGATACCAGCAACTGGATACTGGGCACCAGACATCAAACATCAGCAACATGTATCAGTGCAGCTCACAGCAGTGCCTCATAACAAACAAGGACAACATAGGTTTTCCCCTAGAGCAGTGGTTCTTAACCTTTGTTACTCAGATGTTTTTGAACTGCAACTCCCAGAAACCCCAGCCAGCACAGTTGGTGGTGAAGGCTTCTGGGAGTTGCAGTCCAAAACTCCTGAGTAACCCAAGGTTAAGAACCAGTGCCCTAGAGAGTCAAACTTGTTTGGCTAGGTGAGCACTTATTATATTTTTCATGTGTGTCCAGTGATATGCTTAAAGGCTAAAGACTGCTTAAAGCTATAATGCTTTTTACTTTTTAATGATGTATTTCAGAGTTGCATTCTCTGCTTTTCAATCTACCCCTATAGGCTATAAACGCCTGCATTTTTAGAATATATGCCCCTGCAATTTTAAAATACAATTGTAACATGATTAAAGTTCTGCCTACAACTCAAGTTTTGTTTTTTAATATACTTTTGCTTGCAACTTCTCATCGCTGTAATAATTTTGCATGGCAATCACACCTGCAGTTTTTCACAAGTTCACAAGGATGGATTTCTGTTTTAAGCATTTGCGCCTACAGTTTTTCCATAGCTGTAAGACTTTTGCATAATTTCAACAACTTTGCATTTCTGTGCTTATGGAACACAGAAGCAATGCAAATGAATAAAGCTGGTAGAAATAGACAAGCTGATATTGTCTGGAATCATTGCAACTATGAAGCAAATTTTACTTTGATACCCAGATGAATTTTGATATGACTGGAAATTGTTACCTGGTTTCATTTGGCAATGAACTCTTTTCCTGGAATGCCAGCTGTGATGAATACAGGTTTCTGATTTTTCCTAGAGGTCTATAAAGTTTTGTAGGGCTTTTACAGGATGTTCAGGCATCAGACTCCCTGACCTGACATATTTAATAGGTGAGTAAATTCAACTGTGTTTTATTTTAACTGAAGCCAGCCACTGCCTAGTTATCTTAGCAATTTCTAAACTCTAGAATCCATACCAAAAAAGCACAAATAGACTTATTAGATAAACTACATAGTCTAAAGGTATTGCAGGATTTGAACAAAGTGTACCTCATTTTGGAATGCTGGTGCATGTACCAACCCTTCCTTCCCAATCCACCAATCTGGGAGAAACAATCCAAAGCATAACTAGCTGCTACTTCATAAACACATGCATTTCTTATTTTAGACATGCAGGTCTTCCTGACTGTGTCCCCTTCAACATTACATCTACTTAAACAAGTTCCATCAAACAGAAATGTTGCAAAAGGTATATTCAGAAACTAGGGTTGTAGACAAACAGACCCTCCAAACTGTCTGTGGGTGAAGAATTTGTAGGGGAAATATTCACTTAATTTCTCCAAGCATTGTGTCATCCTAGGGGACTGTGACGATGATAGTTGAGAGGCAGCCACTATAAGAATGGTGGTGGGGAATAAGAAATTAATCTGCTAAGTGGTCTTCTATTGCTAAGGAACTAGACAACAACAAATCTTAGAATGTTTCTAAAACAAATGGCTTCTGGGCAATTCTTCAGTCCCTTTCCCTCAGCGTCCCAAATGCCACATCCCGGAGGGGCCAACTCAGACACATATTGTGTTTCCTGCAGGGAATGTCTATCTATGTTGTAGCCTGTACAAGCAACAGCAATGTTTTGTCTAGCTCCAGAAAAAAATGAAGATGGTACTATGCCATAATTTGTCATACAAATACTCAGAAGTTGTATTTGTCCAGGGAAAAAGCTTTTATTTTGATCCCTCATTCCCAGGGATCTTTATAATTGATACTTATGTGCTTATCATAGCGTTGCAACATACTCCATTTGCTTTTGTTTTCCCTTCTGTTGTGTACCTACCACCTGATGCTATGCAGCTTCTCTGAATGCTTCCACTTCCCGATCTAAAATAGCTTTATATAAAAAATTACCAGGGAGAGGCTTTCTCTGAAATGTAAGAAGCAGGGAAGACTTCCAGCTACCACAGAGGAGATTACACAATGAAAGATAGCACATTTACACTTTCAGCCACTTCATACAAAATGAAGCATAATAATAAAATAGTATCTTTCATTTCACCCTGAAATTGCTCCTCCTTTGAAATTTTGTTTGAAAGCAACTTCTCCATCAAACTGAATGAAAATGATCGAAATTCTCAAGGTAGAAATGGTGAGCACAGCACTGTCGGAAACTGGGTCAAAAAGAACTTCATAGGTTGAACTCACCCCAGAAATTGGTACACCTGTCAAAGCTCCAGAACTCTACCAAAAACAAAATAAAAAAATTTTAGTTTATTCTGCACCGATCACTTTTCATCTAGTAGTCTTTTCCTGGTATTTAGCAACGTATAACTACAAACCATCTGAGATAATCAAGCAAATTTACATGTTTAAAGAACAATCCAGGTTCAGTAAACTCTATTAAGTTATATGTACAGATTTATTCACTCCCAGATGATAAAAGTAAAGTAGATCACTAGTTCTAATGAAAAACTGAACAATTTTGCCAGGTAACCAGAGAAAAGAGATTACTTTACTATGTAATCTGTGCAGCAAGTATTTACCTACAATGTCAAATAAAATCTCAATGCCCACTTTGCATTTAAGCTGAACAAATTTGTCTCCTACTATCATGATTTGGATAAGAAAAGCAAACAATTATAATATTCCTCAGAAACTGAGGAGCTAATTTTGATATACAATATTAATGCAAAACGTTCCTTGTGTTAATTTTCTTTGTATTGTTTATCTTCTGAGCAGAAATGGAAAATACAGACCAATCTTAATGAATTCTGTGGCTAATTCATGGTAGGATCAAACTTGCCTGGACTTACTGTTTTGGCTGAAACCAGAATTTGACACATGGATCTTGTTTCAACAAGGAAAATGTGACAACTCCAAGATGACATAAGCTCTGGATGCTCATTGATTACATCACAGACTGGGAACACTGCATGCTGCCATTTTTGCAAATCATGTACATTCAAACTGGAAATGAGTACATTCAAATTGGAAACAACACAGGGTGCAGCGAAGAGAGTGCCAAAGGGATAAATAGTGATTTAAAATACAGTAAAAGGAAATTTTCAAGACTGTATCACATCTATAACTTGGCTAGTCTGGACACAATGATCTATAGGGTCCCTTCCAGTTTGGTATTTCTAAGATTATTATTATTTATTATTATTAAATACGATCTGTAATTGCTTTCTCATATCCCAGTTCATCAGACCTGAATACAAATAAAGTAGTTTATTTTATATACCCCAGTGTTCATGTGCATTACTTTATAGAAAATACTCCTCTATTTCAATGCATCATCTATTTGAAGGGCTAGATAATTAAAGTCTAATTTAAAGCCCCATTTTAAAATTAAAAAAAAAAAACCAGGAAAGAGAGCATTAAGAAGCCCATGAACATATAACTGAGAAAGTACACAGACCACCTGGTCATAGTGGTGAGATGCACTGTAGGCCTGTTTATAGCAGTTATTTCTAAATTTTTATCTGTAAATATCAATTAATGGGGAAATGCAAATCTGTATCTTCTTTTGTCCATTTTGGTGTAATGAAATCCCTCTTTTCAGCAATTATAAGAGGCCAGACAAACTCCAATTTGTAAAAAAGCCAAGGCAAGCTACACCTTCTATCCATCATAGTAATATACAGAATACCACTTGCATTTTAATAATGCTTGGAGTTACAATAAGATCACCCACACTATGTGTCAACCTAGAAGGTCAGTGCCTATAATATGGACTAATGAACAGAGCTTCATTAGAAAAAATACAGGAGGTCTTATTTTGAGAGGCAATGCTACTGGTGTTGTGAAATTATATGTTTCCTCAAAAAGCAGAAAGAAGTACTGTATGTCACCGTCTTTTTGCAAACAGCCAAGGGTATGCGCATGTGTATTTAGCAGTCACACTTCAGTTCAGTGAAGCCATGCATACAGTACAAACCAGTACATTTCCATCTAGGGTATTTTTTTGAATTTTTTAAAAGTTATGATGATGCATAGCCTAGCATTGATATTTATTCTCTTCTCAGTAGCAATAACCTTTGATTTAAAGTCATTAGCTACTATATAGTACTTTCTCTTGTTCTTTTGACTTTTGGGATGCTGCACACTTTTCTGCAGAACTCATATGAAGAAGCTCAAACCTCAATCAGCATACATTTGGAAATGTCACTTGATCCCATTCCCTTTTAGAAAAGAATGAGGTTACCCCTGAGGAAATGCACTGTATCTGAGCAGAATGGATGGAGACATGACTTGGTGGCATCCTAACAAATTCCTACTCACCAGGGTAGGAGAGATTTTCTAGTCGGCAAGAAAGGTAGTGGGAAAGGAGAGGAGACACAAAGAAGTTCAGTAGCCTGACAGTCTATCTCAATTTCCCTGTGCAATTTTCTCTTACTTATTGCAGTTTGGGCACAATAAATATCAGATCCACACATCCACCCATTGAAAGTAAATACAAACACGTTTACTGTATAAATAAAATTACATTGTTAATGGTTTCTTTTTTCCATTACCAAGAACAAACTATTGTCCTAGGTAAGTGGAGTCCAACCAGGTGTTCTTGGACACTGTTAACAGTTAAATGGACAAGGAAAAGAAGTGGGTGGAATTTCCTATTCCTGTGGCACTGAGATAAGCTCACCTGCAACAATTCCTTAAAAAGTAGACATGTTAGTCTGCTTCAGCATGTTGGCAAAATTAAAGAGGAAAAAGACAAGAAAGAAAAAAGAGAGAGAGAAAAGGTGAAATATTTCGGCACTTTAAAGACTAGCACAGTGGTGCCCTGCTTAACGATTACCCCGCTCCACGATGAAATTGCTGCACGACAATGTTTTTGCGATCGCTTTTGCAATTGCAAAATGATGTTTAAATAGGAAAAAACCGCTTGACGATGATCGGTTCTCTGCTCCGGGAACTGATTTTTCGCTTAACGACAATCAGGAAACAGCTGATTGTCGGGTTTCAAAATGGCTCCCCACTGTGCAAAATGGCTCCCCGCTGCCTTAAGGACGGATTCCTCGCATTACAGGCACCAGATAATGGCCGCCCTATGGAGGATCTTCGCTGGACAGTGCGGTATTTCACCCATTAGAATGCATTAACCGGTTTTTAATGCATTCTAATGGGTTTTTTACTTCGCTTGACGACGATTTTGTTGTACAGCGATTTTGCTGGAACGGATTATCGTCGTCAAGTGAGGCACCACTGCATTTATTTCAGTGTGCACTTTCATAGATCACAGCATTATTTTTCAGACACAAGTATTTGGATTCATTATGTGTGAAGAAGAAAATTTTGATTCATGATTGCTTGTACTGAAATAAATTTGTTAGATTTTAAAAATAATAATCATGTGCCATTAAGTCAATTCTGACTTATGGCTACCCTTTTCAGGGTTTTCTAGGTAGAGAATACTCAGAAGTGGTTTACCATTCCCTCCTTCGGTGGGGGGGCGTCCTAGAATTGTGCAGCTTGTCCAAGACCACACACAGGCTGGCTCTACTTGCAGGGGGCAGAATGGTAAAAACTGAACTCCCAACCTCTGGCTTTGCAGCCAGACACCTAAACCACTGAGCTATCCAGACAGTTTTAGACTTTGAAATGCCACAATAGTTTGCCTTTTCTCATTCTTTTTACACTCTTTCTCCCCCTGTCCCAATTCTGCCAACATACAATAATTTCCATTGCCATTCAGTGTTCAAAAGTTGTAGGAGTCCTAATTCAGCCATCCTCCACTAAAATCTGTGTTAATGTAAATACCTAATACCATGTTTGGAAGCTCCCCGAAACACAAAGCCTTTCCCTGCCACCTATTCTGTCCACTCCACAGTGAAATGCATAGAAAGCCACTGTAAAACTGTTAAAATAAATGTTATTATCAAACAAACTATATTCTTTATTAATGAATTTAATTAGGGGAATTCTTTTCAGTCATATGTTGAAAATATCCAAGATACATAGCTAGAAGACACTGGGAAAGGCACCAATTGCTGCTAACCCTTCTCATCTACTCATCCTTCAAAAAAAAAATCCAATATACCATTTGTAATTAAGACTCTTTTGTAACAGCAGATACAACTTTTATAATAATCTAATCAGATGGCAAGTTTGGGGTTCTCACTTATGTAAAGAAAAACAATGAAATCAAAATTTGTAGGGTGCTTGACAAAAATAGGTGGCAAATCACAGTAAACAAAAAGTAGTTTCATAATATACTAAATACTAGACACATAAAGAATTGCAATTTTATTGATGTCTACTAAATATTTCTTTATCTAATATAGGTGTATAGTGCATTTAAAATCTTCTTATAAACATAAACATACCATTAGTCCATAAATCTCTGAGGAACTGCATACTTTGGGAAGTATTTCCATAGGAATTTCAAAGAATCTGGAAAAAGTATTAACACAGGTTAGTATCAAATCCTTCATGTCTACTCATGGAGTGAAAAAATATGGACAATTACAGTTAGCAACACTTATGTTTATTTTCATCAAATCCGCACCATTTCAACATTTCTATACATTTTTGTAACATTTGTATGATTAGAAATAAATGACAACTCTTTATTATCCTTATATAATGGAAGATGGTTGATTGGCAACTGTTATTCAAATAGCAATGCATTTTGCCAATTGTACAGCATCTCTACCTTCAAACAATTACAAGAGCAAGGTAGAAGTCATCTCACTGTATAGATGAGCATTATAAATGATCACTGGGAATACTGATGAAGCTTGCCTAGTTTGGGCCCAGATAAAAGTTCTGGTGTCTTATAATGTTTACATCAATGAAGTGGTATATGAAATTCTTGTTTAAAAATCCAACTCGTGTAAGAATTTCTGGTGCATCCCCGTCACTTATGTAGGCCCAAATCATAGCTTTGCGTGGCTAGGAGAGAGGTCCTTCTGGAGCCTCATGAAGATTGGTCACTTCATCCAAGAATCCTTCAAGTAGCCATGATCCTTGGGTGAAGTGGCAGTACAGGACATTTAGTCATCAGAATCTGCCAGATGAACCTCTTATTACTAAATCATCACTTTGTTCTTCACTGTTGTTTCTGAGCGCACGTAAAAGTTTATTCAAAACCTACACAAAATTTTAAGAAAAGGAATGTGAAGTTCCACTGAACTGACAGAACTTATGTGCAAGCAAATTTGTTTAGAACAAGGATGTCAGATTCAGTTTTTGAAGTTCAACAAGGCATGTTACTACTTACTTGCAGAGTTCATCATCCCATTCTAATGAATGAATATTGAACAGCATTGTTCTACTGGCATTGGTTACATCAGTGCAGTGGATACCTCCATCTTTTCCACCTGTCAAGCTCTGAGGGAAAAAAAATCAACAAAAATAATGTTTATATATTGCCACACCTGTAACGGAAGTTCAGAATCTTGCAGAGTGCAAGTTCATTGCTACTACCAACAAAGGCTATTGTAGGAGTCATGGCGCTAGCAAACCTAAGCTTAATATATGTGCATATGAGTTATACAACAAATCTAATCTATGCATAGCTCCCATCCTTAACAGATACATGCTTTTGAAAACTCTTGCCTGCCTAATTCATGGCAAAATCCTGCTCTTATATATAAAATACTAGTGACCTATGCACACAATCTCTTACCATGAATTCAGTGTATGTGTTTCAGGAGTACAGCCATATCACGAGTCACGTCCACTAATGGACAAACATTTGCCATTTGTGTAAAAGCATTTATCCACATGATGAAGGGTAAGGGTTCCCCTTTATATATCCAAGCTGTGCTTTTTTCACACCCATGTCAAATACACAGCTGTACTTGCATATAGTACAATCGCAGCTCTTTATGCATTCCCTGATATATCAGGGGATATATTAGCCACTCAGATGACTGACTGAAATTGCACTAGAGAATTTCAATACTTTATGATGGAGGCTCGATGAGTTTGAGGGTTAAGTGATATATGCCTGTTCTATCTGTGTCCAATGTGTTTCACTACCAATACTTTTTGAGGAAGATTATAAATGCATGTTAATACTCTAGGAAATATGGTAGCAAAATTTAACTTCTTTGTATGTGATTTGATTCAAGCTGAGGGAAGAAAGAAAGAAATTGATTTTCAATATAGATTGTAAAACGTACCCATATGAGCCACGAATCAATGGTACCAAACAAAGCTCTTTTCTCCAGAACTGCTTGCTTGACCTTTGGCACATTATCCAGAAGCCAGCGAAGTTTCACAGCACTAAAATATGTGCTAAGTGGGAGGCCAGTCCTACTCTGCAAGAACATTAAATTAGCCAGGACACAGAAAGACAAACTACTCTAATAATACATAAACTCTAATAGAAATATTATAAAAATAATTACTTTCATAGTGTTAGTATTAGCAGCATTCTTATATAGCAAACTCTGAATGTGGTTAACATTAACCCTGGCATGATCCATGATCTTAGATAAAGAAGATAGTCTGAAAGTTGCCACCTAGCAAACAAACAGAAAGTCATCTAAGGTTATAGTTTATACAAACCACTTGGGTCTTGGTTTGCTGGTTTGTTATTATTGTATTATTTAAATTTTTTATTCATTTTGTTCATCCATTACGTCTTAGGATTTTTTTTGGTTCCTCCTTCTTTCTTGGTCTAGAAGCCCTTCATATGTCAATTGGGGCCAGGGATGGTATTGGGATCTTGCTGGCATACCATGCTCCCCGCAATCCAGCCATTTCCTTACCAGAGCTAGTGGACTTTGTCTTCGCGGCTCTGTTAGGATCCCCTAGACTGATTGTCTTGGGTGATTTCAACATCCTATGATTTCAACATCCATGCTGAGCTGGAGGTTTTCAATCTGCCCTTGAGTTCTTGGAAACCATTGCTTCCTTGGACATGTCCTAACATGTTAACTGCCCCACCCACATAGGTGGTCACATGCCAGACCTTTTGTTCTCTTCTGAGCAGAGGGAGTGTGGTCTAATGGTGACTAACCTTGTGTCTGTCCCCTTGGATTAGGTGGATCACCACCTAATAAAATGCAACTTCACAGCGAAACCAGCAGGCAGAATTATTCTGCATCATACGCAATCTATCCAGAATTGGTCATAGTGATTGGCCTCCCCTTATTATCTCACCTGACCAATTTGCAGCATTTTTTAAAGCTAAAGCGGAGGCCATCCGCCAGGACCTAACCTCCTATTTGAAACCAGCAGATTGAGCCGAGACATCTAGTGCACCTTCTTGCCCAGTGGGAATTACTCATTTTTAGCCAGTAACATAACTTGAGGTTAAGACACTTGATTGCTGTCATGCCAGCACCTCCTCCCTTGACCCTTGCCAGCTTGGCTAATCAAAACAGCCAGGCCTGTGACAACCGAATGGGCCAAGGCAATAATTAATGGGTCTCTCCAGGAGGACAGGGTTCCCCTTGCCCTCAAGGAGACACTCATTAGGCTCATTAGGAAGAAACCAAGCTTGATGGCAGGCAACATTGGCAATTATAGGCCTGTCACCAATGTTTCTTTCCTTAGCAAGGTTGTAGAGAGGGTTGTGGCCTATCAGCTTCAGACTCTCTTGGATGAAACCAGTGCTCTGGATCCCTTCTAGTCAGGCTTCAGGCCACGTGACAGTACGGAAACGGCATTGGTCGCCCTGCTTAATGACTTACTGAGGGACGCCAATAGGGGCAAAATGTCCCTGTTGGTTCTCCTTGATATCTCAGCTGCCTTTGATACTGTCGATCACGGTATCCTCCTGAGACAGCTTTCCAAGTTGGGGATCAGTGGCCTGGCTCTTGTCCTTCTTGGGAGGACTATTCCCAGAGAGTTCAGCTTGGAGAGAGTGTAACGGCCCCATGGCTCCTCAATTGCGGGTCCTGCAGGCCTCAATAACCTCTCCAATGCTGTTTAATATCTATATGAGGCTGCTGGGTGGGGTCATCCGGGGGTGTGGGGCTTCATGTCATCAGTATGCTGATAACACATGGCTCTACATCTCCCTTTTTCCAACAGCAATAGATGCCGCTGTGTCCCTTGAGCACTGGCTGGCTGCTGTACAGCAGGAGAATGGACTGAGACTGAACCTGGAAAAGACGGAGGTTTTGAGGGTGGGCTCTCCTCCTATTTGGTGAGCCCCCTTTCTTTTGGGAGGGCAACTCTCACCACAAAGAGTGTGGTCCAGCTTGGGGATCCATCTTAACCCAGTGCTTACCATGGAGTCCAAGGTAGCATCTGTGGTACTCATTGCCCACCTACATCTTCGGCGGATTGCCCATCTGTGCTCCTATCTTGATGTCGGGGCGCTCACCACTTTGGTCCATGTACTCGTAATATTGAGATTAGACTACTGTAATGCTCTCTACATGGGGCTGCCCTTGAGACTGATATGGAAACTACAAATGGTCCAGAATACGGCCACCAGATTGTTAACTGAGGTGAAAAAATACCATCACATTTCCCCCACTCTGGCAGCCTTACACTGGTTGCCCATTCGTTTCTGCATTGACTTCAAGGTGTTAATGCTTACATAAAACTCTAAATGGTTTAGGACCTTGATACCTAGAAGAGCGCCTGCTCCCACCTAGCTCTACTAGTGTCACTTGATCTACTCAGGCTGGGCGGCTGAGGGGCTTGACCCCGAGAGGCCCATAAGGAGAGCTGGGCCTTCTCGGCAGTGGCCCCTTGCCTCTGGAACATCTCGCCCCTGGAGAGTCATCTGGCATCCTCGCTGGGAGTTTTTAAGAACAAGCTGAAGACTCGGTTCTTCAGGCAGGCCTTCCCCCTTCTATTTCTTAATTTCCTAAGTCTTAACATCTTGGTCTTTGCTTGTCTATGTTGTCTGATATTGTTTGTTTTAAATTTTGCTTTATATTTGGAATGTAAGCCGTCCAGAGTAGATTCATCGAATCTAGATGGGCGGGGTAAAAACCAGAAAAATAATAAGTTTTAGACAGTAAACACACTCACAGGAGCATAGTGGCTATTTTCATATTGGCTACAACCCCTTTTTGCGTGTTTAATCCAGTAAGTATAATAAATACTGATTTCTTCGTATGTCCCTAAATAGCATTCTTCTTAGACATGGGGAAAAATCTGCTAGAACTAGGCATTCAGAGAAGTTTAGGAATGAAATTACATTGAAATAATCTCCCTCACTATATAAAAATTGGATAATTTCATATTTTCATTTAGCTTATAAACTCAGAATGCATGCTATCCTATCTGTAACTAGTGTAGCAGGTATTCAGGATATAAATAATTAATGTTACAGTTCTATTTTCACTTACATAAGGAAAATTGCTACTGAATTCAATAAGACACACTGCCAAGTGGACACATGTATCACTGCAGTTAGCTCTTTAAACATGTCCCATCTAATCTCAAGAATCTGATTTTCTCAAGTGTTGAATAAAGCAGACTATTGTAGCATTCAGCCCTGCCCTCACCTGTCCGTCACAGCTGAGCAGTGGAACCTCAGCCAATGAGGGGATGGAAGGTGGTGCAGAAGGGGGAGGAGCTGGAATATATAAAGGGGTGTATGATGTAAAGGAGGAGGATTGAGTGAGAGATTTTGAGAGAGTTAGTGAGGAGTGTGTCTATGGGCCTGTGAGCCAGACAGTCAGTGAAGGAAGAGTCTGTGTGTGTCAGTGAGGGAGAGACCTTGATTAACATATTGTGATTTACTTACTTTATTTTGTTAAACAAATAAACCAGTTTTTGTTTTGAAACAACACTTGTCTTTTTAAAATATTGGATAAAATTGGTGGCAGCAACTGAAGAAGAAGAGTGAGCACTCCTGGAGGCCTGAGTTGGTAGAGGCTTCAGCGTGCCCGCTACAACTATCACAGTGTGTTATGTGCTGCCAAGTCATTTCTGACTTGGGTGATCTTAACAGGTTTTTCAAAGTGTGCAAAATAGGTTCATAGGAAACAGAACTCTGGTATTCTAGCTTGTTTTGTTCACTTCAAAACATGTATACATAAAAACATCAGTGGATCATTTAACAGAAAATAACTCCCAAACTCAAGAGAAAAAAAACCCTTACCTTTAAGAAAGATTTATTCTGTCCTGGAATTCTTTTAAGCAGCCTCTCAACTGTAGGTTGGGTCCTTAAGTCAAGCCACACTATAATTCAAACACAAACATTAGTTATAGGTGAAGGATTTTTTCTGAGTCATTAATTAAACAAGCAAGTCACTAACTAAACAAGACCAGATTCTGACATTTTGAATAAGCCTTTACAGAGGCCGTGGTGGCGTTGTGAGTTAAACCGCAGAAGCCTCTATGCTGCAAGGTCAGAAGACCTGCAGTCGTAAGATCAAATCCACGCGACAGAGTGAGCTCCCATCACTAGTCCCAGCTCCCGCCAACCTAGCAGTTTGAAAGCATGCAAATGCAAGTAGATAAATAGGTACCACAATGGTGGGAAGGTAATTGCATTCCGTGTCTAGTCATGCTGGCCATGTGACCACGGAAGATTGTCTGCAGACAAACGCTACCTCGATGGGTTGGAAACGGAGATGAGCACCGCCCCCTAGAGTCGGACACGACTGGACAAATTGTCAAGGGGAACCTTTACCTTTACCTTACAGAGGAAAGTCCTCTCTCAATCCTCCTAACACAGCTGATGCATTAGCTCTCTTTCTCTCTCACCTCCCACTTGACATGATGTCTGCATAAGTGCCAACCTCCCCCCACTAAAAACAAAGAAAGTGAAAGTATGTTTTCTACAACACACAAATAAGCTTTGTTTGCACTTGAGATTTGTTTTAAAAACTTCACCTGCTGGTATTTTTTGATTCCAGATACTATTTGGAAATCTTGCTATTGTGACTAAGACAATGGGCCCTTTGTTCCACCTTCATCCTACAACAGGAGAGATCCAGGAGTAGGCAACCAGGCACTTCAAAGGAAGACCCTGCCCATTCAAATGTTAAATTGATTCCTGACTCTGGCAAGAGCACAGCTGACAAATAAAGCTCAAGGCAGACCCAGGGTGCTCACAACCAGAGCTTGTGAACAGGAGACAAAACAGGGAGTTTGCCTGGAGAGGCCAAGGCCCAAACACATTTTTTTTCAGTTCCTTAGGTGTACGTACAACTACATTTAAACTAACAAAACAAGAGGGACAGGTATCCTAAACAAACAGCTGAAAGCAAAAAAGCTAGAAGGGATTATGGAGGGTGGAGTCAATTCAGTTGTGGTTACCTGCAAAGTTTGTGCTATGTTTGTCTTTTTTCCTAAGTGCAAAATGCTGTATACATGTAACAAGTGTAAACTTATGGCACAGTTAGAAAAGAAAGTCAGAGACCTGGAGCAGCGAGTAGCTACACTCAAGGCTATATGGGAAGATGAAGCCTAGATTGATAGAATTCTTGAGCAGCAGCAGCTGGAAGAGGGGCACTGCTGATGGAAGAAAACCAAAACATTGCAGTGGAGGAAAATGCTGTAGAGGCTACAAACATAGTGGAGGAACCACCATGGAAAAGAATTACAGTTAGGAGCAAAAGAAGGAGTAAACACTTTCTTGGTGGAACTACAAAACCACTTTCAGTTACTTGAAGAGTCTGTCAGACATGACACAGAGAGACCCCACAGGAGGACATGAGTAGGGCTGAAGCGCAGCAGAATACAATCACTGAGCCCACATCCTACAGAAAGAAGAAGAGGAGTGTAGTTGTAGTAGGGGCTTTGAGATTGAAATTTGCCGGGAGGATCCATGGACTCCCCAGGGATGTTGTCTCCCTGGAGGACAGATAAGGGATATGATGGAAGGATTGCCATCACTCATAAAACCTACAGATATATATCCCTTTCTTCTTGTACACATGGGAATAAACAACACAACCAAGAGGAGCTACTGAGAAATCACATCTGACTTTGAAGCTCTGGGAAGGAAACTCAAGGACTTTGGGGCCCAGATAGTTTTTTCTTCCATCCTAAGAGAAATCGAAAGAGAAAGGAAGATCCTCTGGGTAAATGACTGGCTATGAAGGTGGTGTCAACAAGAGGGATTTGGTTTTTGGGACCATGGGCTAAGCCTCCTGGAAGATGGACTGCTAGCAAGAGATGGCTTGCATCTAACAAGGACTGGGAACAATGTGTTTGCCCACAGCATGAAGAACGTCATCACGAGGGCTTTAAACTGAATTGGAAGCAGGAGAGAGATGTAAGTACAGAGTTAAGGGTAGATGAAGCCTTACACACAATAAGAGAAATAGACCAAACTGATCAAAAGGGGAACAATGATAACATTAACAATAATCGCAATAATAAACATAACAATAATCATAACAATATTAATATTATTCATAAAAATGTACAAAGACAAACAGGCCACAAATTGCACATCCTCTGGTGTCTATATATAAATGCCAGAAGTATGGGAAGCAAACAAGAAGAAATTTTAATTCAGAAGGGTAACTATGACTTGATAAGAATAACTGAAACTTGGTGGGATAGCTCCCATGACTGGAATACAGCAATTGAGGGATATAAACTGATCAAAAAGAACAGAGAGAATAAAAAGGGAGGTGGAGTGGCAGTATATGTCAAAAATACACATTCCTGCACAGAAATACAGGAGGAGGAGACTGGCTGTCCCATCGAGAGCATCTGGATCAATCCAGTTGGGGCAAAAAACAAAAGGAACTGTAGGCAGGAGAGGAGCTGATACAAAAAAAGTAAGAAAGGGTTAGCACATTGTTTTGCGGAAGACAGTGCTCCTACTTACCAATAGCATCGTGGAGAGGTTCTCCAGTTAATTTATCCCAAACCACAGTTGTCTCTCTTTGATTGCTAACTCCAACAGCTTAAGCAGAAAAAAGAAGTCTTAGTACCAATTTATACATTAGTATACAGTGGGGTCTCGACTTAAGAACTTAATCCGTATTGGAAGGTGGTTCTCAAGTCGAAAAGTTCTTAAGTCGAATCTGCATTTCCCATAGGAATGCATTGAAAACCATTTAATCCGTATCTGCTCTTTTCTGTCCATAGAAACTAATGGGAAGCTGCTATTCTGCCTTCTGCCACTAGAGGGGGATATTTTCTTTCTTTTT